TGGTCTGGAGGCCCTGGGGTCGGGCTGGGGGACCAGAAGGAGATGTGTCAGCAGTCCACAGTTTCTTTCCCTGTGCTGTCTGGCTGCCATGAGGCACAGCTCGGGTTTGCTCATAGCAGTTCTGTCATTTTGGAAGCAGGCTTTTATTTCTCATATGTTTCCGAGGATTTAAAATTGCCTATCGTGACTTGGCTCAAAGGAACACTAAGCTCCGGGAGCAGAGAACATACATAATTGCAAGGGTAAGATGAAATGCTGCGGGACCTGATTCTAGGCTTTAGGTTTTCAGCCGGGAAAAACAAGGCAGCTGTTTGTGTCGTTTCTCTTCTCATAGCATTACAATGTAAGTGACACGTCATTAGAGAATTTTCTGTTTTGATTACTATTATGTTCATATCATCAAAAATAGTGCTTGGCACACAGGAGGTGGCACAATAAATGCTAGTTGAACAGATACTGCAAGTATCTTATTTTACTTTTTTTTTTAACTTAAATAAGGATCATGTTTTAGTCATAGTACTTTAAGGAATACCACTTAATATCAAATCTTACTGATGTTAAAAATTTTCTATATAAAATCAGTTACCTCCTAATTCAATATACTTCTAAATTAAAATTTTGGTTGGCTTTATTAATTCTAAAAAAATTTACATACTATCGTCAAATGAATCTTTACTTTTTTTTAAAAAAAAGATGTACTTATTTATTTGAAAAGCAGAGTGACAGAAAGAAAGACAGATCCCACATTTTCTTTTCTTTCTTTTTTTTTTTTTTAAAGACAGAGTTACAGAGAGAAGTAGAGACAGATGGAGAGGTCTTCCACCTGCGGGTTCACCCCCCAGATGGCTGCAATGGCCAGAGCTGTGCCGATCAGAATCCAGGAGCCAGAGCTTCCTCTGGGTCTCCCACATGGGTGCACGGGCCCAAGGGCTTGAGCCATCTTCCACCGCTTTCCCAGGCCATAACACAGAGCTGGATCAGAAGAGGAGCAGCCGGGACTGGCGCCCATATGGGATGCCAGTGCTTCAGGCCAGGGCGTTAACCCGCTGCACCAGAGCCCCGGCCCAGATCCCCACATTTTTCTGGTTCAATCCTTAATGGGCTGTAACAGCCAGTTCTGGGCCAGGCTGAAGACAGGGGTCAGGAGCTCCATCCTGGTCTCCCACGTGGGTGGTAGGGGCCAAGTACTTGGGCCATTTGTTGTCCTCCCAGGCACACTAGCAGTCAGCTAGTCAGGAAGCAGAGCAGCTGGGACTCGAATCCTGGCACTCCCTGGGATGTGAGCATCACAAGTACTGGCTCACCCTACTGTGACAGTGTTGGCTCCTGTCAAGCAGATTTGATTCCATGCTAGTGTCAAGTGTGGATCTGATTCCTTAGACTACAGAAGAATAAACTTAAAATTTAAAGTGGATGCAGTTACTTGAAGTGTGACATTCCTGAGATCATGCGGGTGAGTACAACAAAACATCTGGTTCTAGACATGGTTCTTCAAACTTGTACTTCTGACATTTGGGGCTTGATAATTCTTCATGTCTGTATGTTGCTGACAGTTCAGCAGCAACCCTGGCATCTACCTAACAGCCTCTAGGGTGTCAAGAAAAATGTCTCCAGATCTTGTCAAATGTCCTGTGGAGGAAAGGATGGCAAAACTGTCTTAAGAACCACCATTGTAGATATTGGGAATATACTGGCAAAACAGTTTTACATGAAAGCAAAAATGATCAAAATACTCTGAATTAAATACAACAATTTTCCTACAACTGATGAGAAGATACAACAAATTTGAACCTAAACTTCTTATATGTACCATATATGTAAGATAAAAGGGGCAGGTAAACTTCAGGAATTTATAAACCACTTAACTGTATGCCATCAAAGTTACAGACTTTGGCGTGGAAGAACTTTAAAGGTCATTTAGTATAAGCTCATTTGATGAAACTGGAGTTCGTGGGAGATAAATAATTGCCCAAAGTCTTACAGTTAGTAAGTGGCATTTTTATGAGTAGTACTACCAAAGCCTGTTTAACAATTCTCTGGGAGAAATAAGTGTGCAGCCCATAGAGTACCCAATATGGTATAGTACATTATGTTCAGTAAGGGACACACAGGTGGACTAGTGGCCTGGACTGGTGTAAAAATGACAGCATCACTTGATGCCCTAAAAGGAAGGATGAGGAAGCTAAAAAATGTGAACAAACATTAATGATTCCTAAAGGCTGGGAGGAGTAGGGGAGCCTGAGGAAGTTTAGATAATGAGCACCAATGCAGAGTTAGACTGGGATACGTACCTGGTGCTACACAGCATAGTGGATGACTGTAGCTCACAATAACCTATTCCATATTTTATCAGCAAACAGAAGAAAGGAACTCCAAGGCGCCATTCTTTTTTTTTCTTTTTTGGCAGGCAGAGTGGACAGTGAGAGAGAGAGAAAGGTCTTCCTTTGCCATTGGTTCACCAATGGCCGGTGCGCTGTGGCCGGCACACTGTGCTGATCCGAAGCCAGGAGCCAGGTGCTTATCCTGGTCTCCCATAGGGTGCAGGGCCCAAGCACTTGGGCCATCCTCCACTGCACTCCCTGGCCACAGCAGAGAGTTGGACTGGAAGAGGAGCAACCGGGACAGAATCCGGCTCCCCGACCGGGACTAGAACCCATTGTGCCGGCACCGCAGGTGGAGGATTAGCTAGTGAGCTGCGGCGCCGGCCCCAAGGCACCATTCTTAAAGTGATGTCAAGGGGAAATGTTGAATAGACTGACTGATCAGTACACACTGCACACACTACTGAAATGTCACATGGTAGCCCATAAATATGTACAATTATTTGTCATAACAGAGGCTGTGCTCCTCCCCCCTCCCCCAGCAAGGCAGAGTGGGTCAAGCGGATTTTGCACAGGTGGACTAGTTTGTACAATAGCCCAGAGGTGGTAAGCACGTTAAGGACATGTTTAAAAGCCCAGCTGCAAAATGAGGGAAGAAGAGAGTGGCATGGAATAAGACTGGAAGTTGACAGAGCTGGATCATGTAGGATCTTAAGAACCATGTTGTGGATTTGGGATTTTAATCAACCTGCAGAGAAAAACCTTTGGAGGATTTTAAGCAGGTGAGTCATGTTATCAGACACACCTTTAAAAAAGATCACTGTAGCTGCTTGGGTCAGATAGAGAAGGAAGAGACAAGTTAGAAGTAGTTTAGACAAGTTCAAGTAGTTTAGGCAAGAGGTGAGAGTATCTTGGTGGAGATGGTGAAAATTGAAGGAATATTTTAGAAGTGGAACTGAAAACATTTGGTGATGGATTAGAAGACAGAGCAGGGGCTTCCAGAATTACTGTCCTTGAGATTTTGGAAGACAGAGGAGGAAAGAAACTTAGTATTAATCAGAAGAGCAGTATTAATGCTCAGACTATTCTAGAGTATTCTTGTATCTGGTTAGTATTTCAATATCAAAACTTATGGCATCAGTCTCCTAGGCTGTCAGAACAAATGATCAACTGTGTGGCTTACAACCATGGAAATTTACTTTCTCATAGTTCTGGGGCCAGAAGTTTGAAATCCAGTGTTAGCAGGGCCATGCTCCATCTGTAGGCTCTCGGAAGAGGATTCCCTTGCCTCTCCCTAGCTTACCATGAATGTGCAATCTTTCATATTCTTTGGTTTGTAGCTACATCCCTCCAATTTATGCCTGTGCTTTTAATTTGCTACCTTCTCACTCTCTGTGTATTTCATCTTGAGATTTTTAGCTAATTCCATCCGCAAATAGGTCACAAGATGAATTTCCAGGTGTCATGAAGTCTTGGGGAGCAGGATTCAACTCACTAGAGTTACCAATAGTTTTTCTTGTTCTCATCATTGTTAGTATCATTAACATCACTACTAAAATTAAGAAGAGGTAAAGAGGTTCTGTTCTAATGTCCTAATATGTGTTGGGGGTTACAAGTATTGGAGGACCCCAAAATCACACCCAAATTCTATAGGAAGATTTGCAAGACTCAAAATATGTTGAAAGACTATACTTTTAGGAATATATGTAATACTCATGGCTATGATATATCATGTTAAAAGCACACACAGAGGAAGCAGCAAAGGAAGAAGGTGTCTGGAGCTAAGTCCAGTAGGGCACAGGCTTCCAAGTGGAGTTGCAAAGATGCACAAACGCTTCCAGCATCAAACTGTGACCACATATGCTGAGTGTTATCTCTACTCATCAGATGCTCGCTCAGTAGCCCAATTTTTATTGGAAGATGATCATGCCTGCCACATAGCGAATTTCCAGATTCCCAGAAGGAAGGCACGTGTTCCACACAAGCCAGTGTACAAGCTCAACACGCACACAGTAAGGCATCCTTACCAGTGGAGCACTCCTGGAAACCAAGCTCCTGGATGCCATCAAGCACTACCCCTGCAAGGACTAGTCTCAGGCCTGCTACACTGATTCCTGCACACATTTCACTTAATTCTCACAACAAAGGAATTAAAGTTCAGTTATCTTAGATAGTATAAGATTATACTACTATGAGGTTACTAGTAAATGAGAAATTAGAATTCCAAAGTAGGCAATCTGGATGTAGCACCATGCTTGGCTGCTTGGTGTTTTGAGGATTCAGTAAAATAAAAAGAAAAAGTTACAATACACTCCAATTTGGAGAGAATTGAGAAAAACAGGTAAGGAGAACTTGATGGTTTTAAAAACAGACTGTAAAAGGAAGAATAAAGTAGCCATTATATAATGGAGATCAATCAAATTAAATCAAGGGTTAAACATTTTACAAACACTATTTAGAGACTTTTAATGTTTAAGAGAAACAAAATTAGCAGCATATTAGCAATCATAATATTTTAAGGAGATTAAAGAAAGCTAAAGTTTTAGCCAAATTAACACAATCAAAGGATTAAGAGATTTAATTTCACCTTTGTGGGGAAATAAAAAGTAAGAGTATGTACATGCTTAGTAGAGGGCAATCTATTCAGATTATTTTTATTTCGTTTTAACTTTTTTTTACCTAAGGGAGTGATGTCCTGAAGTATAGTCCAGTTTTCCAAATTTCTGTGTTCGGTAGCCATGTTTCTCCATGACATCCATCCACGTTGTATAATTTGGATCTAGACCCTTAAAATTATTCCAAGACTCTGTTAAGTGAGTGAATAGCCCACTCCACATGGCTGTGGGGAAAAATAAATTGGGATTAAGGTAAAGTTCAATTTTTTTTGAATTTTTAAAAATTAAAATTTAAGATGAAAAATGTCATTTATTTACTATATACAGATTTAGAAACATAGTGATATTGCCATCCCTACCCTCCCTCCAACACATGCTCCTACCCTTCCTCCTCCATCCTCTTTAATTTTTTTAAAGATTTATTCATTTAGTTGAGAGGGAGAGTTACAGATAGAGATGGAGAGACAGAGAAAGGTCTTCCATCCATTGGTTCACTCCCCAAATGGCCACAATTGCCGCAGCCAGGCTGATCTGAAGCCAGGAGCCAGAAGCTTCCTCAGGGTCTTCCACACGGGTGCAGGGGGCCAAGCACTTGGGCTATCATCTACTGCTTTCCCAGGCCATAGAAGTGAGTTGAATCAGCAGTGGAGCAGCTGGGATATAAAACTGTGCCCATATGGGATGCTGGTGTAGCAGGCTGAGGCTTAGTCCACTATGCCACAGCACTGGCCCTTTTTCTCTTAATTTTTACAATGATCTACTTTCAGTTTGCTTTATACTCTTAAGGTTAACTCTACACTAAGTAAAGAGTCCAACAAGTAGTAAGAAAAAAACATTATTACTCAACAGTAAAGACAAGGGCTGTAAACAATCATCAAATCTCAAAATGTCAATTTCACTCATATACATTACATTTTTGGTACTCTGTTAGTTACCACAGATCAGGAAAAATATACGGTTTTTATGTTTTGGGCACTGGCCTATTTCACTAAGTATAATGGTTTCCAGTTGTATCCAATTTGTTGGAAAAGACAGGATTTCATTCTTTTTTACAGCTGAGTAGTATTCCATACTATATGTATACCACAATTTCTGTATCCAGTCATCAGCTGATGGACATCTGGGGTGATTCCATATCTTAGCTATTATGAATAGAGCTGCAGTATACATAGGGGTATAGATAACTCTTTCACATGATTTCATTTCATTTGGGTAAATTTCCATGAGTGGACTGCGGGTCATATGATATATCTATTTAAGTTTTCTGAGTTCTCTACGCTGTCTTCCAAAATGATTGTAATAGTTTACATTCACACCAACTGTGGATTAGGGTACCTTTCCCCCCATATCCTTGGAAGCATTTATTATTATTTTTTAAAATTTATGTATTTATTTGAAAGGCAGAAATAGAGAGGAGAGATGTAGAGGGAGGGAGAGAGGGAGAGGGATAACGAGAGGGAGAGAATGAATTTTCCATTTGCTTGTTCACTTCCCAAGTGGCCACAATGGCCAGAGCTGGACAGATCTGAAACCAGGAGACAAAAGCTTCTCCCCCATCTCCCACATGAGTGCAAGTGCATTAGCAAGGAGGTGGATCAGAAGTGGAGCAGCTGGGACTCAAACCGGCACCCATATGGGATGCCAGCACTGGAGGCAGAGGCTTAACCTTCTATGCACAGTGCTGGACTCTTGTCACTCCCCCTCTTCGTGGAGGAACGACACAGGACCCTGCGCTGTTCTTTCGTCTGCTCGGCCCTCCCCGGGTTTGCTGCTGGTTCTTCCCGGGTTGGCTACCGACCCTTCCACCTCCGTGGAAGGGCGGTTCCCCCTGCCACTTTCCCCACTTCTGCGGGGGAGCGGCACACCGCCGGCCGGCTCTCTCGGGGGCTGCTCAGATGTTCCTTCAGATAGATGTTCCTGGTGCATGTTATCTCTCTCCTCCTTTATAGTCCTCTTCCACCAATCCCAACTCTGCTACCCACACGCCGAGTACGCTGCTCTCCTCCAATCAGGAGCAGGATCAGCTCCTGCAGGTCATCACTCAAGTTGGCGAGAGGCAGCTGCGTAGAAGTTGTTACTCCCTTCTCAGCGCCATATTGTGGGAGAGCAGATGCATAGAATAAGTCTTAATTCCAGTAACAGTCTAGTCCGAGTTGCTCCTCACAGACCCTGTTTGTTGATTTCTGTATAAGAGACATTCTAACTGGGGTGAGGTGGTCTTTATTTGCATTTCCTTGATGGCTAGCATTTTTTTGTGGTGGAATGAGAAGGCCATGCCAAGATGGCTGCTGGCAACAGGCTGTGATTGGATGGTTTAGGAAACCACATGACAGCGGAGCCTGCCTGGCAACAGGCTGTGAGTGGATGGCTTTGGAAACTGCCTGGCAACAGGGTGTGATTGGTTAGGGCATAGACCGCCCCTTGACCAGATTGGCTGCCTTGGCTATATAAGCTGCTGTAGCAACTGAAATAAATGAGTCTGCAGGCTGCTCGCCTCTTGCCTGCTTTCACCCAACTCCCGGGGTCTGTGTGGTGACTCTGTACCTCTTGCCCCCACCACGCTCCTCCTCTCAGAAGAAATCAACCTCAACATTTTTTCATGTGTGTGTTTGGCCATTTGGATTTCTTTTTTTGATGTAAATTCAAGTCCTTTGCCCATTTTTTCCTAGATTGTTTTTGTTGTTGAGTTTCTTGAGCTCTCTAGATTGTGGATATTATTCCTTTATCAGTTGCATAGTTTGCAAATATTTTCTCCCATTCTGTCAGTTATCTCTTCACTTTGTTGAGTGCTTCCTTTGCAGTGCAGAAGCTTCTTAGCTTGATGTAACCCAATCTGTCTATTTTTGCTTTGACTGCCTGTGCTTCTGGAGTCTTTTCCAAGAAGTCTTTGTCTATGCCAATGTCTTGCATAATTTCCTGAAAGTTCTCCTGTAGTAATTTGATGGTATCAGGTCATAGATTTAGACCTTTGATCTATTTTGAATTGATTTTTGTATTAAGGTGTAATGTAGGTGTGTTGTTTTATACTTCTGCATGTGGAGATCCATTTTTTCCAGCACCATTTGTTGAAGAGCCTGTCCTCTCTCCAGGGATTGATTTTAGCTCCTTTGGCAAAGACTAGTTGGTTGTAGATATGTGGCTTGATTTCTAGGGATTCTATTCTGTTTCACCAGTCTACATGTCTATTTTTGAGCCATTACCAGGCTGTTTTGATTATAACTGCCATGTAGTATGTCTTAAAATCTGGTATTGTGATGCCTTCAATTTTTTGTTGTTTATGATTACTTTAGTTATTTGGGGTCTCTTGTGTTTCCATGTGAATTTTAGCATTGCTTTTTTCTAGATCTGAGAAGAGTGTCATTGGTATTTTGATTGGGATCATATTCAATCTGTAAATTGCTTTTGGTAGTATGGACATCTTGATAATATGAATTCTTCCCATCCAAAAACATGGAGGATTTTTACAATTTTTTTGTGTCCTCTTCTATTTCTTTCATGTTTGTAATTGTCATTGTAGAGATCTTTCACCTCCTTGGTTAAATTTATTCAAAAGTATTTAAAATTTTTTGTAGCTACTATGAATGGGATTGATGTTAGTTTTTTCCCAGCCCTGGCATTATCTGTATATACAAATGCTATTCATTTTTTTGTGTTAATTTTATATCCTGCCACTTTACCAAACACTTTTATGAGTTCCAGTAGTCCCTTAGTGGAGTCTTCAGGTTCCCCTATATACAGAATCATGTCATCTGCAAACAGGATTAATTTGACTTTCTCCTTTCCAATTTATAATCTTCTGTTTTCTTTATCTTCCTAATGGCTTTGACTAAAACTTCCAGGACTATATTGAATAGCAATGGTGAAAGTGGGCATCCTTATCTGGTTCCAGATCTTGGTGGAAATGATTCCAGCTTTTTCCTAGTCAATATAATGCTGGCTATGGGTTTGTCATAAATTGCTATGATTGCACTGAGGAATGTTCCTTCTATACCCAATTTGCTTAAGGTTTTCATCATGAAAGGATGTTCTATTTCATCAAATGCTTTCTCTGCATCCATTGAGATAATCATGTGGGTTTTATTCTTCAATTTGTTAATATGATGTATCACATTTATTGATTTGCATATGTTGAATCATCCCTGCAATATCAAGGATAAATCCTCTTGGTCGGGTAAATGATTTTTCTTATGTGCTGTTGGATTTGATTAATTAGTATTTTGTTTATGATTTTTGCATCTATGTTTATCAGGAATATTGGCCTCTAGTTCCCTCTCTCTGTGGTCTTTTCCTGGTTTTGGTATTAAGATGATGCTGGCCTGATAGGAGTTTGGGAGAGTCCCTCCCTTTTAATTGTTTCGAATTGAGAAGAATTAGAATTAGTTCTTCTTTAAAAGTCTGGTAGAATTCAGCAGTGAAGCCATCCAGTCCTGGGCTTTTCTTTGTTGGGATGGCCTTTTTTTATTTAAGGGAAAGTTTATATACAGTGGTACAAAGCAAGTAATCAGTTAAACTGGAGGTGAATCACTGAGGATCATGGACATGAATTTATGTTGTAATTTAAATGTATCATCAAAAGTTTATACAATATGTCTAAATAATGAATATTAATTTCTCAGTCACAATATACACACATTATTGGGTCTTAATAAATCTTTTACAGCCTTTTCCCTTAATTGTATTTCTGATCTTTGATAATCTAATCTATTAAGTTTTTAGCTTTACCCTTAGGCCTAAGTCTGTGGGAACGTGTGCTGAACTGTACATCTCCTGGGAGGGCCTTTAATACTGATTTGATCTTTGTCTTGGTTATTGGTCTGTTTAGGTTTTCTGTGTCTTCATGATTCAATTTTTGTAGATTGTATGTGTCCAGGAAGCTATCCATTTCTTTCGGATTTTCAATTTGTTGGCATATAGCTCTTGTAATTCTTGATGATTCTTTTATTTGTGTGGTATCTGTTACATTCCCTTTTTCATCTGATTTTATTAATTTGGGTCTTCTCCCTCTTTGTTATTTTTGGTTGGGGCAATTTTACTTTTTTAAAAAACTAGCAATTCATTTCAATGATCTTTTGTATTTTTTTAATTTCAATTTTATTTTTTCTCTACTCAATTTTGTTTATTTCTTCTCTAATTTTAATTATTTCTGTCCTCTTACTAATTTTTAGTGTGGTTTGTTGTTGTTTTTGTAAGTACTTGAGACACATTAACAGTTCATGTATCTTGTGTCTTTTCAATTTCTTGATGTAAGCACCAATTTCTATAAATTTCACTCTTAATATTGTTTTTTGTTTTATCCCATATGTTTTGATATGTTGTATTGTCATCTTCATTCATTTCCATGAATTTTTTTATTTCACTTTTGATTTCTTCTATGATTCACTGTTCATTCAGGAGCATGTTGTTCAGTCTCCATGTGTTTGCTTATTTTCTAGAGATTCTTAGGTTGTTAATTTCCAGCTTAATTCCATTGTGGTTAGAAAAGATGTAGATTTCATTTTTTTTTTTTTAACTTACTGAGACTTGTTTTATGGCCTGGTATATGGTCTGTCTGAGAGAAGGTTCCAGGCAGTTATGAAAAGATTTTATATTTTTCAACTATGGGATGAAAAATTCTGTAGACATCAGTTAAATCCATTTGGTGCATAGTGCAGATTAAGTCTGTTGCCTCTCTTGTTGATTTTCTGTTTAGTTGATCTGTCCATTAATGAAAGTGAGGTTTTTGAAGTTCTCCAACACTACTGTATTAGAGTCTATGTCTCCTTTTAGATCCATTATTTGCTTTAAATAGCCAGGCACGCTGGCACTGGAGGCATATACATTTATTATAGTCACATCTTCCTGTTGAATTGATCCCTCAATCATTAAATAATGCCTTTCTTTATCTAACAGTTTTTGCATTTGCAGTAAAGTGTCTTTTTGACTGATATTAGTTGGATGGCTATCCCTGCTCATTTTTGCTTTCCATTAGCATGGAATATCTTTTTCCATCCATTTACTTTCAGTCTGTGTGTATCTTTGTTAGTGATGTGTGTTTCTTGTAGGCAACAAATATATGGGTCTTGTTAAACCTTAAGAATTTGCCTTAACTATTAAGAGAATTCTATTGGGAGACTAGTCCACCAATTTAGAAGACACACCTTAGGTGTTTGATCCAATAATTCTGATTAGGAGTTTATTTTATCTGGGGGAAATCCTGCTAGAAGTTACTATTTCCATTTTACAAATGAACTGACTTAGGTTTGCAGTAGTGGGAAATGTCCAGCCAGTGGGCTACCAAAGGCCCACAACATTATTTGTTCTGGTCCTGCCAGGGCAACTAGAAGCAGGCTGATTTTGTATGGCCTGTGAATGATATTACAGATATCTAAAAGGCCCTTGGCTGATCCTACTCCTGGTTTAGAGGTTAAGATGCTTAAAGTAGAAAAAGCTTGAACCAACTATAAAGCCCACCTGACTTTAGAGTCTTTTATCATTCCATAAATATTTACTGGATAATTTTGTAAATAAATCAATTTAAGTATAGATCAATTTTCACCTTTTTTTTACTTCTACCAGCTTTTCACAACAAATTTGAGTATACCATGTCTCTCTCACTTTCTTGAACTATAATTATTTTTTAAATAAATACTTTTCCTTTTCCCATTTCTGAGTACACAATAGCTTGGAATAAGTGATCTTTCTCATTTAACAACATGTTTTCTGGGAGGTGGGATGGGGTATTACTTGGGTTTGAATTCCAATAACACCATTAACAGAGTGGCCTTTGTCTTTTAGATTTCTATGTTTTTGTTTTGTTTTTTTTTTTTTTTAGATGTATTTATTTGAAAGGCAGAGTGACATGGAGGGAGAGAGTGAGCAATAATAAGAGCAAGAGTGAGAGCGAGCGAGCGAGCATCCATCTACTAGTTCCCTTCCCAAATGGCTATGACAGCCAAGTCTCGGCCAGGTTAAAGCAATGAGCCAGAAATTCCACCCTGGTGTTCCATGTAGGTGGTGGGGGCCCAAATAGGGAGCTGGATAAGAAGCAGAGAAGCTGGGACTCACACTGGCACTCCAGTATGGGATACCAGTGTCACAAGCAGAGGCTTAACTTATGGTGCCCCAACACTGCCCCCATGTACTTTAGTTTTCATCTGCAAAATATTGATAATAACAGTATTTGCCTTATTGAAATATTATGAAGATTTTCTCAATTTATACATGTAAGGCATGTATGAATTAGAATACTACCATGCACATAGTAAGAATGCAATGTTAGTTTTTATTACTATTATTCCTTCTCTTTCTTTAATCTCTTAAAATACATTTCTTCAGAAAAAATAACACCTAACATTATTAAGACCCCTTAGAGTTCATTGACTGCTTTCTCATTCATGATTTCATTTGATGTTCAGAACAACCCTACAAGGGCCAGAGTGCACAGCGTTTTTGTAGACAAGGGGACGCAATGACTTGCTTGAAGTGGCTCATTGAGATTAGATCCAAGTTCATCACTTTAGCCCAGCCCTCTGCTCATCCCACTCACTCACTGGAAGCAAAAGTTTCCAGAAGTTTTTTTTTTTTTTTTTTTTTAAACACACTTGGTCACCATTGAAATGTCATTTATTATACAGTTTAGGTTTCCTTTAATCATTGATTCTATAGTTGCTAGTGTTGAAAATACCAGTGAGAGAACTGGTAACTCATATCACAGAGAATATCATCTCAGTACCTCACAGAGAAGACCAAATTACTGAGTGCTGTTTGTAGGTTGCAGGGTAAACAGTTATAGCCAGAAGGGCAGAGGCCTGTCAGAAAACAGGTGGGATTTATTAACAGGGAAGCTCCTCCCTCTCTAATTTCTTAATTACTCATGGAAAATTAAGCCTGTCTGTTAAATTATTTTAAGAGTCAACAAGTAGATTTTGGATAGAAGTCAACTGACACTGAAGATAAAATACATGATCTGATGCAATATGGAGACCCAGATAAACCTGAATATGAGAAGTTCCAACTACTCTGGTATATTTGAAACAGTGTTACCTATACCCTTACTGAAAAACTTCCTTGGAAACAAATTTTCTAGGAAGTATGAGTATTTCCTCACTTGCTCCTATAGTCAAAAGATTCTTGGACACCAAGCATAAGATGAAACATTAACACATATTCTAAATGACAAAATGCCTACTCTTGGAATATAAATTAGAAATTATAATAACCTTAATACCTAATGTATATAATAAAACACACATCTCTTATATTAGAAATTTTTATTAGATTCCAAATACTTTTGGTTATAATCTTCTAAACTGTGAATATATTTTCAGTGAGTAATCACTTTCTTCTGTTAATATTAATCATATTCATACCTGCACGTGATGGGCAACAGATTGGAGAGTTTGTGTAGGCATTCAAAAAGGAAGTGCCATGTGTTTTCATGAAGTTGATAAAAGGAAGTTTCAACACCTGATTTCCTGGTTGAAATGTTAACCTTCCATCCTGGAATAAAGAAATTTAATTAACATTGATTGCATTTCAAAAGAAGACTATTTTCTTTAATTTTATTTTTAAATGTTGATTTTTATTTATATTCATTTATCTTAAAGTAAGAGCAACAGAGAGAGAAAGACAGATCTTCCATGTACTAGTTCACTCCTCAAATGCCCGCAGCAGCTGGGCTGGGTCAAAGCTGGGAACTCCATCTGCATCTGCCATGTGGGTGGCAGGAACCCAAGTACTTGGACCAGCGTCAGCTGCCTCTTTGGATGTACTACCAGGAAGCTGGATCAGAAGTGGAGTGGAACTGGCACTCTGGTAGTAGATGCAGGCATCCCAGGAGGGTGACTTAATCTCTTGCACCACAACGTATGTCCCTTTAACTTTATTCATAAAATTCATAATAGCAAAGGATTTCATTATAAGAAACCTCAAAAGATAAAAATCAAGTACATAGGGTGCTAACAGTATCTAATGCATATATATCTAGAACCCAATGCAGTGAAAGTCAGAGTTACGCAGGGAGAGAGGAGAGGGAGAGAGGGAGAGAGAGAGAGAGGTGTCTTTCATCCTTTGGTTCACTCCCCAATTGGCCACAATGGCTGGAGCTGTGCCTATCTGAAGTCAGGAGCCAGGAGCTTCTTCCAGGTCTCCCACGTGGGTGCAGGGGCCCAAAGACTTGGGCCATCTTCTACTGCTTTCTCAGGCCATAGCAGAGAGCTGGATTGGAAGTAGAGCAGCCAGGACTTGAACCGGCGACCACGCAGAATGCCAGCACTGCAGACGGTGGCTTTAACCCTCTACACTATCATGCCAGCCCCATAAAGGACTTTTTGATAAGTTCTTTTGGAGCATGATGGACTGGCTGAACATATACTGATAATGCACTATGGGACAGGCACTATGCAAGATTTGAGGATACAATGGTGAATAAAATAGCAGTTCCTGCTCTCATGAAGCTTAGCATCTAGTGGGAGAGGCAAATAATATATGGATTTTAAAGCAGGGTATGATAAGTGTGATAAAGCGCTTTGAAAAACACATGGAATACAGAAGTACCATAGAGACCACTTTAGATACAGTGGAGAGAGAAAGCTTCTCTGGGATGCACGTTAGTATGAGCAGTATCCAGCCATTCAAATAATTTAAGGGACATCAAAAGTTGGAGACACCTCTAGACTTAACTGAAGATGTCACTAGGCAGCTGGATAAAACAGTCTGAAGATTAGAAAAGATGTTCGGGTTGGTGATGTGCAATTTGGCAATGAACTGAGAACTGAAGAACTCTGCTTAGTAATGATCAGAGAAGGCAGAATACTCCATCCTAGAGCTATACCTGTTGTATGTTTATTTATTTATTTATTTGACAGATAGAGTTAGACAGTGAGAGAGAGAAAAAGTCTTCCTTCCATTGGTTCACCCCCAAAATGGCCCGCTAGGGCCAGAACTACGCCGATCCAAAGCCAGGAGCCAGGTGCTTCCTCCTGTCTCCCATGCGGGTGCAGGGGCCCAAGCACTTGGGCCTCCTCCACTGCCTTCCCGGGTCACAGCAGAGAGCTGGACTGGAAGAGGAGCAACCGCGACTAGAACCCGGTGCCCATATGGGATGCCGGCGCCGCAGGCGGAGGATGAACCAAGTGAGCCACGGCGCCAGGCCCCCCCGCCCTGTTGTATGTTTTAAACATGTATAATTATAAATACATTAAAGTGAACAAAAGGACCAATCCTGAATGTGGGATATTGATAGACCCTTGAGATGTCTGAGATTTCCAAATGAAGCTGCAAAGCAGGCTGTTGGGCACACGCTGGGGTCTGGAGTTCAGAGAAGTCTGTCTTGGTGAAATGAGCTTTAGCATATTCATGAGTTGAAAACTGTGAGATTGAATGTGGCCTTCTAAGGAGGGAGGGAAAGGACAGGAAAGAAAGGAGAAGGTTGTGAGGAGACCCAAAGAAGAGGCGAAGGCAGTTTGGAAAATCGAGACAGGATGGCCAATGAGGGAGGATGAGAAGAGGAGGGAGTTCTCTGGCAGGTCAGAGAAGACAGCGTGCGAGGAAGGAGGCAATGTCAGCTGTGTGGAGAAGGCACCGACAGCGAGGCCAGAAAGTGCACAGTGGAGCTGGCAGAATGGGGATAGCTGGTGATCCTGCTGAGCCCATTTCCAGAGTGGTAGGGATGCACAGGGGAGGAGCAAACTGGAGTCAGGAGAGTGAGACAGCAGGTGAAAAACCTCCTCGAAGAAGTTACTCGGCAAAAGAAACAGAAATGGGACAGAATTAGAGAATGGGGTGTGAAAATGAAGGAAAATGTAGGATTAAGGTCATTTTATTTAAAAAAAATTCTTTATCTGAGAGGCAGAGACACAGACCAAGGGACAGAGAGAGAGAGAGAGAAAGCGCCAATCCACTGGTTTGCTCGCCAGGAATGAAACCCAGGCACTCCAATGTAGATGTGGGTATTTTAATACTGTCTCATCCAGTATTGCTATAATAACAATATTAAATCTTCCGATACATGAACATAGGGTGTCCTTCCATTTGCTTAAGTGTTCTTTAATTTCTTTCAACAATGTTTTATGATTTTCACAATGTAAGAATAATATTTCTGAGGCTAGTGTTGTGGCAGAGTGGGTAAAGCTGCTGCCTGAGCCACCATACCCATACAGTTGGCACCGGTTCATGTCCTGGATGCTCCACTTCTGATCTAGCTCCCTGTTAATGGTCTGAGAAAAACAGCGGAAAATGGCCCAAGTACTTGGTCCCCTCCCACTCACATGGGAGACCTGGATGAAGCTACTGTCTCCTGGCTTTTGCTTGGTCCAGCCCTGGTTGTTGCAGCCATCTGGGGAATGAGCCAGCAGATGGAAGATCTGTGTCTCTCTCTCTCTGTAATTCTTTCAAATAATTAAATCTTTTTTTTTTTTTAAGGAATTGCATTTCTTTGGTTAGATTTATTCCTAAGTATTTCAGTGTTTTGATGCAACTTTAAGTGAAATTCCTTTAAATTTTATCGATAAGTATACAGAAATATGCACAATTTTCATATATTAATCTTGTATCATACCACCTTAGTAAACATAATATTAGTTCAGCAGTTTTCTAGTGGATTCCCTATTTTCCTACATACAAGATTATTGTAAGTATAGATATTTTTACTTCTTGCTTTCCACTATGTCTTTTATTTCATTTTCTTATCTAATTCCCTGGATAGGATCTCAAGGACAATGCTGATTGCAAGTGGTGAGAACACATATCTTTGTCTTGTTACTGATCTTAGTAACACAACATTCAGTCTTTTACTGTTAAGCCTAGTATTACTATTGAGTCTAGTATTAGGTCTGGCTTTTTTTTTTTTTTAATGCCCATTAATGGTTTGAGAAAGTTCTTTTCTACTTCAAGTCTGCCAAATGCCTTTATCATGAAAGATTAATTTTGTCAAATGCTTTGCTGTATCTGATAAGGTGATCATATGGATTTTGTCGTTTATTCGATTACATTAATTTTCTTTTTTTTTCTTTTTTTTTTTTTTTTTTGACAGGCAGAGTAGACAGTGAGAGAGAGAGACAGAGAGAAAGGTCTTCCTTTGCCGTTGGTTCACCCTCCAATGGCCGCCGCAGCCAGCACGCTGCGGCCGGCGCACCACGCTGATCTGATGACAGGAGCCAGGTACTTCTCCTGGTCTCCCGTGGGGTGCAGGGCCCAAGCACTTGGGCCATCCTCCACTGCACTCCCTGAACACAGCAGAGAGCTGGCCTGGAAGAGGGGCAACCGGGACAGAATCCGGCACCCCGACCGGGACTAGAACCTGGTGTGCCAGCGCCGCAAGGCGGAGGATTAGCCTAGTGAGCCGCGGCGCCGGCCACATTAACTGATTTTCAGATATTAAATCAACTGTGCATTCTAGGGATAAATTCCACTTGGTCATGGTGTATAATCCTTTTTATATATCCGTTTTGTCTGTTAGTATTTCCTTGAGGATTTTTGCTTCTGTGTTCTGAGAAGATAGTGGCCTGTAGTTTCCTTGTAAATTTGGCTTTGGAATCAGGCACACAGTGATCTTTCAGAATGAGTTTGGCAGCATCCTTCCTCTTCTATTTTATGGAATTAGTATTAATTGTCCTTAGATGTTTGGTAGAATTTACCAGTGAAGCCACCTGAGCCTGAGTTTTCTTCGTGGGTAGTTTTAAAATTTCCAATAATTTTTTCCATTTCATCTAAGTTATCTAATTTGTTGACATATAGTTATATATATATAAGAGAATATAGTTATTCTCTTATAATTCTTTTATTTATGTAATGTACTTTTTTCTCCTTCCTGATTTCAGTAGTACAGATTTTTTTTTTTTTGTGGTTATTCTAGTTGAAGGTCAAGTTTGTTGATTTTTTCTAAGAATTAATTTTTGGCTTAATTTTCTTTACTATTTTTCCGTTCTCTATTTCCTTCACTTCTGCTTTAATCCTAATTGTATTCTTCCTTCTGCTTGCCTTGCAGATGGCTGTCTAGCTCCCCAGCTTCTCTCTCTTGCTCAGGAATGTTTACCCTACTGAGAGCTGGGGCAGGAGCTCCTGGGCCCCATGTATGCTCTGCCTCCCCCACCTGGCCTTGAAACTCTGTCCTGTAAGTGGAGGGAGGGCAGCTTCAATGTCTCAGCTGCATCCTCCGTGCAGAAATTTAACCTCTTTTGCATGGATTTAGAGATGACAAATGCTGGCATCCTGTCCCTTCTGGTGAGACATGGTAACCCGTCATTGGAGGCTGAGGATAAGGGAGTCCTATCTTTCTGGCATCAACCCGAAGTGAAACCACTGCCAGCCTAAGCTGTGGTTCACTCTTAAACCTGCCATAGCCTCTTACTGAGTTTTAGTAGAATTTCTTTCATCAGTGTTTCTTGGATGTGTACCCTTAGGACAATTTCCAGGCACTGTGCATATTTAAAATATTACATCAGTTTTTAAAAAGTTGTCAGTAGTTTTGCTTATTTTGAGGAGCAGTAGGTCTATGAAGTTTTTCATGCTGACATCCTGAAAGTGAAACCAGTGTGCTGTTTTCTTACCACAGTTATTATTGGCTCAACCGCCTTAGCTGTGGAGTTGTAGGAGTGACAAATCATACTGTTAGGAATCTAACTGTATATCAAATTGTTATACTCATAGAGAGATGAATTACTGCAAGTTAGTTTAAAGAACAGTATTTTGGGGACTGGGTCCCTGGCATAGTAGGCTAAGCGTCCACCTGCATACTGGCATCCTCATATGGGCTCTGGTTTGTGTCCCAGCTGCTCCTCTTCTGATCCAGCTCTCTGCTGTGGCCTGGGAAAGCAGCAGAAGATGGCCCAAGTCCTTGGGCCCGTGCACCCATGTGGGAGACCCAGAAGAAGCTCCTGGCTCCTGGCTTTGGATCAGCTCAGCTCAGGCTGTTGCAGCCATTTGGGGTCTGAATCAGCAGATGGAAGATCTTCCTGTTTCTCCCTCTCTCTGTCAGTAACTCTACCTCTCAAATAAATAAATAAAAAACTTTACCAAAAAACCTCAGTATTTTGACTATGTAGTTGAAAATACCTAAGTCAAAAACTGCAAAGAAACTAAGTGGCACTCAGAACTATCATTATTGTAGTTATATTGCCATTTTATTTTCATATTCGTAATACATACATACATGCAATACATACAAGTAGAGATACGTTTAGATGAAGCAAAAGGAATTGTATTAATGTATTCAGGAATTAAAATATTTGTTATGAAGCAAAAAGAGATATAAGCATAAAAAAAAAAAACCAAAGAATAAGTAATCTGTAATCTTAGGGTGGAAATGGAACTATCAGTAGATCTATTTTTCTCCTCTAAAGCATGTATGCTTTCTAAGTATGCCCACTGGAAGGATCTAGAAGCAAGAAAAACCCTGATATGCAGAATGGGGTTTCTAAATACCAGGTGAGATAGGAAGTATGCAAGGTGGACACAGAACTCTGCTGAAGCAAGCTGCTGGCTACTACTGGGGAGGGGTCACAATGGGGAGCAACCCGAGGGGCTTCTACCAGCCAAAGATGCACAGTCTGAATCTCAACAAGTAGTGAATACAAAAGCTTTAAACACAAACGTACAAGAAATGTATGCATTCATACAACTCTAAAAAAATTAACAAACCTAAACATCTCGGTTTTCTTTGGAAATTGCTAGGAGGTTGTGATGTACCACCCATATTCCTCTTGGGAATGAAGGAGTCTGCCTTGCCAGATCATGCCGCGTTCTGAGCAAGCTCGCAACTGGCTGCTCGGCTCACCCCAGCTGGAAACAGCTGTGTCGGCTCACGCTGGCTGCAGACCTGCCCATAAGGAATACACTGAAAACAACTTAACTTCCGCACAACGAGGCTTATTTCACTTCCCTTCTAGTTCAAGGGCACTCCCTATCTTATTAATTTCCAGCATTGCTCATTCTCCACATTTAGATAATCACAAAGATTACTTAAGTAATATTTTCAACAAATCTGATGGGTAAATCCAGACTACGTAACTTTAATCAAGAGACAGGTGATCCAGCATAGGGATTAAAACCCCTCTCCACGGGGCAGGCATTTGGTACAGTGGCTAAGGCTCTGTTTGGGATGCCCCATCCCGTATCTGAGTGCCTAGGTGGGAGTCCCAGCTCTGCTTCCTGCCAGCTTCCTGTTAATGGGCACCCTGCGAGGCCTCAGGTGATGATGGTTCAAGCACTTGGAGCCTTGCTGCCATTTCAGGAGAACTGGCTCCAGTTCTAGGCTCCTGGCCCAGCTGTCCTGGGACTTTGCGGGAGTCAATCAGGAGATGGGAGACTCCCTCTGTCTGCCTTTCAATTAGATAAAAACAAACAAAAACCGACTTTTAGCGCAAGACATGGGTAACATCAACAACCTATGTAACCATGTAATTAAATATTATAATTAATAACCAACATTTATTAAAACACGGATAATACTGGGGCCGGCGCTGTGGCACAGCCGGTACAGCCGCCGCCTGCAGTGCTGCCATCCCATATGGGCACCGGTTTGAGTCCTGGCCGCTCCAGTTCTGATCCAGCTCTCTGCTATGGCCTAGGAAAGCAGTAGAAGATGGCCCAAGTGCTTGGGCTCCTGCACCCACGTGGGAAGACCGGGAGGAAGCTCCTGGCTTCTGATCAGCTCAGCTCTGGGCCGTGTTCTGGCCGTTGCGGTCATTTGGGGGGTGAACCAGCAGATGGAAGACCTCTCTCTGCCTCTGCCTCTCTGTAACTCTTTCAAATAAATAAATAAATGTTAAAAAAAAAAAAAAAAACATGGATAATACTAAAAGCATCAGGTAAGGTTGATATCACCATCTTTGGATTAGGGAAGTTCCAAAAACTGTTCAAGTTTGTGATTCCCCAAACTTGTGTGTACACACATTCAATTTCTCTGGAACACGACTGAACGGGTCCAATTCTATCAGCTAACTCGTTTAAAATCAGCACTAGTAGGATCATCAAATACCTGATCATAAAATTAATTTCTTCAAACTGCAGGTGGACTAACAAATGACTTTTGGAATGCTGGCCGCCTTTTACGGAGATGTTCAATGTTATATTCTCCATAGGGGCAACAAATGGGGGGTTTGCACGTTCATTAGGTAGTAGTAAAATAATTTACTGTGTCGAGCACAGCATTAAAAAACAATCTGCGAAGATGGTACCCGGGTGTGTCTTATATGTATGCAAACACACGGCGGTACTTCAAAAAGTTCGCGGAAAGCGAGATAAAAAGGAAGTTTAGTTTTGGTGCAAAAAATTGTCCAACTCCAACGAGTCCACGGAAAATACATGTTGTGAAGAAACTAGGCATGGACGTTCTCTGCACCCGAATCAACTTAGCTTTCCGTTCCTTCTCGCGGGCGGGTAGTGCACGCGCGTGACCCGGGGTCTCAAGCTACTGCGTGCTTTGCAGCGCGGTGACCGCGTCCGCGGGCTCCTCCGACCTGCTGGCGCCCCTCGCCCTCCCGGTACTCACGAACGAGTCGCTCACGACCACCACCACGTTAGGGGCTCCGACCGCTCCCCGCCTCCGCCCACCTGCCCCGGGGGCCGGAGCAGCCAGCGCCGACGCTACCACCGCCGACACCCACAGCAGCAGCATCGCGCCGAGCGCCGGCCGCCAGCCCTCTCTCTATGGAATTCCGGACGAATTCAGAATGAGGAGGGCAGGGAGGACCACCAACTCCTCTCAGAGTCCGGCGTCTACACACAGCACGGCGGCCGCCGCAGAACCACAACTCCCGTCAGGCTTAGAGCGTGCACGTACGTAAGGGAGGACTCCCCGCCGCCGCCGATCGGGTGCGTAAGGCCTTTTCATCAAATACCGAGCGAACTACATCCACCCCACCCACTTCCAGTCATGTGAACAGGGCCTGGGAGATGCGCATGCGCTCTCCTCCCCACCCCACCCCCCGCCCCCGGTCCCGGCGTTTGTAGAACAGCTGGGTCCGTCCCAGGTGAGTTCGGGTCTTCGTCGCTATTGCAGAGGTTGGAGCCTGTAAGTGGTTGGAGTGATGCTGAGAGGAGGGCCTGCAGGCTGGGGCTGCTGGGTTCGCGCCGAGCGAGCGTGGCAGCGTGGCGAGAGCGTGAACTGGGCGATGCTGAGGTGGCGGCGGGGGGCTGTCACTGAAGTTGGACGGGGCGGATCCCTGCGCGGCCTCTGGCTGCACCGCCGCAGGTGCGATGTGGCTGTTCCGAGGCCCTTCAGTCTCATCTTGTTGCCTGCCTTTGCCCGGGCGGTGGGGGTTTCTTGCGCCCTCGCGGGGCGAGGGGCGGGTTCCCGGCCGAGTGGAGCCTGGGGCGGGGGTGCCTGGCCTCGGGCGAGCTACGGAATAGGACGGAACGGGATGTCGGAGGAACGCGGTGTTGGCCTTGTGACGTGTTCGGGTCAGAACACCCCGTTTGGCCGCAGAACAGTCGCTGCTCCCTCTTGAGTGTAGAACGCCTTTGGAGGGTTCCAGAAGAAGGTGGCTGACCCGGAGCCAAAGTCATATTTCATTATCATGGCTTCAGGTATGCAGTTTGCACATCACATTAGCCCTTGTGCTGTTCTGATAGGAGAAGGAGCAGTTGCACCATTTAGAACACACAGAATCAACTCAGTGCTGGTAACTGCCAGTTTGGGTTTTCTGTTTGTTTTGCATGAAATAATTTTAGGGGCGGTCATTTGGCCTAGTGGTTAGGAGATACCGCTTGGGACACTTGCAAGCCATGTGGAAGTGCTCGGGTTTAAGTCTCGGCTCCACTTCGCATTCCAGCGCCCTTCTAATGTGCACCCTCAGAGGCGCCGGGTGAAAGTTGGAGTACGTGGGTCCCTGGCACGCGCGTGGGAGACCCGGATGGAGTTCTCAGCTCTCACTTCAGCCCGGCGGAGCCCCAGCTGTTGCAGACTTTTGGGGAATGAACAGCACATGGGCGATCTCTCCTCTTTCTGCCTCTGCTTTTCAAAGAAATTTTTAAAAATTGCAACAAGGGACAGACCTATTTAACATTCACAAACCGTTTATACTAAGCATTTACTGAGTGTCTGCTGTATACCAGCCACTTCGGGATGTAGATGTTCAATTGGGTCAATATTTCTGCTGGCTATTTAAATTACTGATGGCATGTTGTGGGGAGCAACTCGGACTAGACTAAGTTACTGGAATTAAGACTTATTCTATACATCTGCTCTCCCACAATATGGCACTGAGAAGGGAGTAACAACTTCTACACAGCTGCCTCCAGTTCAACCAATAAACTGTAGGACCTGCTCCTGATTGGAGGAGAGCAGCGTACTCAGCGTGTGGGTAGCAGAGTTGGGATTGGTGGAAGAGGACTATAAAGGAGGAGAGAGACAACATGCACTGGGAACATCTAAGGGGAACATCTGAAGGAACACCTGTGCAGCCCCCGAGAGAGCCGGCCGGCGGTGTGCCGCTCCCCCGCGGAAGTGGGGAAAGTGGCCAGGGGGAACCGCCCTTCCACGGAGGTGGAAGGGTCAGTAGCCAACCCGGGAAGAACCAGCAGCAAACCCGGGGAGGGCCGAGCAGACAAAAGAACAGCGCAGGGTCCTGTGTCGTTCCTCCACGAAGAGGGGGAGCGACATAATGGTGCCGTGACTCGGATATGAAGCCTAGGCAGGGTTTAGTGTCGTTCCTCCATGAAGAGGGGGAGCGACAGCATGTTATAAAATATTTTTTTATTTATTTGAAAGGCAGAGTTACAGAGGTAGAAGGACAGAGAGACAGGGAGAGAGGAAGAGAGAGAGAGAGATCTCCATCTTATGGTTCACTCCCCAAATGGCTGCAATGGCCAGAGCTAGTCCAATCCAAAGCCAGGACCCTGGAGCTTCTTCCAGGTCTCCCACATGGGTGCGGGGGCCTAAGCCCTTGGACCATCTTCTGCTTTCCCAGGCCACAGCAGAGAGCTGAATTGGAAGTGGAGCAGCCAGGACTCGAGCTGGTGCTCATATGGGATGCCAGCATGCAGGTGGTAGCTTTACCCGCTACGCCACAGTGCCAGGCTCCTGATGACATTTTTAATATTTAAAAACTTTGTGTTTTCATTAGTTTATAAACTAATATAGTTGTGTGATATACATATCTAAAATTTTTTTCTTTTAATTTATTTGAAAGGCAGAGAAAGAGAAACACACACATAGACACCCAAGACAGACAGACGAGATCGTCCTCTACTGGTTTACTCCCCAGATGACCACAATAGCCAGGGCTGGGTCAGAGCAAAGTGAAGAGCCTGCAACTCAATCCACATCTAATATGGTATTGGCAGGGAGCCAAGGACTTGAGCCGTCACCTGCTTCCCAAAGTGCACATTTGTTTGAAGCTGGACCCAGAAGACCTGCTGGTACTTGGGGCTGATGTTGTAGCACAGTGGGTAAAGCTGCTGCCTGCAATGCTGGCATCCCATGTGGGTGCCGGTTCATGTCCTGGCTACTCCACTTCCTATCTGGCTCCCTGCATATGTCTTGGGAAAAGCAGCAGAAGATGACCCAAGTGCGTCGACCTCACATTGGAGATTTGGAAGAAGCACCTGGCTCCTGGCTTCGACCTGACCCAGCCCTGGCCATTGCAGCCATCTGGAGAGTGAACCAATAAATGGAAGATATCTTTCTCCTGTCTCTCTCCCTCTGCCTCTCTCTTTCTCTCTAACTCTGACTTTCAAATAAATAAGTAAATCTTAAAAAAAAAAAAAAAAGAAGAAGAAGAGTTGACATTCAAACCTAAGCACTCTGATATGGGTTGTGGGTGTTTTAACTATTGTAACGATTTCTCGGATTGTGGGAAACTTTTTATATACATGCTTGTAACTCTGTATATGGCTTAGAACATGGTTCACTTTAGTATAGTTAGGCTGCAAATTAAGTAGTTTGTGGACTCAAAAGGCTTCCATAGCCTTGGCAGCTCAAGTCAAGAGCCTTGGGTGATCACTAACATCATACATAAGAGTGTCAATTGTTAAACCAACAACAGGAGACACTGTGCACTTGCTCCACATGTAGGACCTCTGTCCTTAATGAGTTGTACTATGAGAATTCACAGTAAAACTTGTCTTCAAACTGTACTTTACACTTTGTGTGTCTGTGTGGGTGCGAACTGTTGAAATCTTTACTTAGTATAGAGTTGATGTTCTATGTATAAAGATAATTAAAAATGAATATTAAGAATGGGATGGGAGAGGGAATAGGAGGTGGGACAGGAGTTGGGGTGGGAGGTCGGGTATGGGGAAGAACCGCTATATTCCAGAAGCTGTACCTATGAAATTTATATTTATTAAATAAAAGCTTTCCAAAAAATGAGTATCCTTAATTCTTAAATTCAAAACAATAGTATAGAAGTAGTTGTTGGCCGGCACCGCGGCTCAATAGGCTAATCCTCCACCTTGCGGCGCCGGCACACCGGGTTCCAGTCCCGGTCTGGGCGCCGGATTCTGTCCCGGTTGCCCCTCTTCCAGGCCAGCTCTCTGCTGTGGCCAGGGAGTGCAGTGGAGGATGGCCCAAGTTCTTGGGCCCTGCATCCCATGGGAGACCAGGAGAAGCACCTGGCTCCTGCCATCGGATCAGCGCGGTGCGAAGGCTGCAGCGCGCCGGCCAGCCATTGGAGGGTGAACCAACGGCAAAAGGACGACCTTTCTCTCTCTCTCTCTCACTGTCCACTCTGCCTGTCCAAAAAAAAAAAAAAAAAGAAAAAAGAAGTAGTTGTTATTCTTTTTTAACTCAGTTTTTTATATCAACATCAATGTATGTTGAGTTTCTGAAGTCTTTTTTTCAGAGTCTTTCTGGTCACGATGAAGTTTCCTTTTATAATCTGAGGCTATAAGAATGCAGTTTAGATAAAAAATTTGGAGATTAAGACTGGAGCCTCTCTGGGAGGGAAAAAGACTAAAAATTATATATAATTCTCTCATATTTTAAATTATGATTTATATAAATTGTGAATATGATAGAAATAATTCAAAATATTTTGAATTGTGGATGTCATCCCTTTTATGTGACTGCTTATTTTTGTTTTTACTTACTTTAGATGGAAAAGGGTTAAGAAACAACGAGATTTAATTTGGGATGAAGATAGAGGTGATGATAATAGGTAAGAGGTAAGTGTCTAGAATGCTAAATAATTAGTAAGTGAAGCCTGTTTTTATTTAATAATTGTTGGCAGTTCCTTCCAGAAGAAAGGCTCAATGGCATAGATATTTTTATGTCAGACTAGGTTATCCCACAATGCCATTAGATTTTTGTTATTAGGTTTATTTTTCTCTTCTATAATTAACTTCCTTCGTCATTACTACTTACTGTTTTTATTGTTGCTTTTGTCTCGTGGAACCTTTGTATGAACGTAATGGAAGGCTTTTGCAGGGGCTGTAAGATCAGTTCATTTACCTGTAATTTTTTTTTTTTTTTTTTTTTTGACAGGCAGAGTGGACAGAGAGAGAGAAAGGTCTTCCTTTGCCGTTGGTTCACCTTCCAATGACTGCCACGGCTGGCGCACCGCGCTGATCCGATGGCAGGAGCCAGGTGCTTCTCCTGGTCTCCCATGGGGTGCAGGGCCCAAGCACTTAGGCCATCCTCCACTGCACTCCCTGGCCACAGCAGAGAGCCGGCCTGGAAGAGGGGCAACCAGGACAGAATCCGGCACCCCAACCGGGACTAGAACCCGGTGTGCCGGCGCCGCAGGCAGAGGATTAGCCTGTTGAGCCGCGGCGCCGGCCTCATTTACCTGTATTTGATAGCTTTTGGCTTCCAGGGAAATCCTTGCCTTTTTAACATGACTTTCACTAACTCTGTTAAAGTGCAGTTGTTGCTACTTTGTAAACTTGATTTATATTGGATACCAACATAATCAAGTGGTAGAAGAAACTTTTATTGAGTGAAAATGTGCAAAATGAATGCCCTTATTTTAAAAAATCAATTGAGATTGAGGAGCAAAAAATGGGAAGGGAGCTACATGGGGAAAGTATTAGCACAGCAGTTGTGGAAGACATTTACGAGAGAGCTAGTTCTTTCTTTGAAGAATTGGAAATGCTTAGAATTGAAGGGAAGCGTCCCAGATGCAGAAGTGTGGAATAACGTGGAATCATCCTGAGTAGCAGGTTTTTACTTTGTGACAGGAAATGGATTTGAAATGTATCTATTACATGGGTAGTTCTCATTAAAGGTTTGTTTTGAAAATTAGTCGGTGAACTTGTTTCCATCCCCTCAAAATACATACATACATACATAGGAAGAATAAGTATTTTTCAGGGCTAGAAAGGGGCAGATTATTTTGTAATTTAAACAATTATCCTTTTGGAATTTACATGATACTATGTATGTGCATGTGTGCTTTTCTATACACACACAGTACATCTACGTTAGGTAAAGAGAGGGCATCAGTGGCAGTATATTATGCTAAGTGACTCATCAAAGAAGTAATAGAAGAGAAGAGAAGAGGATTCTACTGCGTTGTAAGGAATTGTAATTACATACAGAACACATATGGGTGTGGAAGGGTATTGAGTATTAGAACTGGTTGCCAACAGAAGAATGGAGTTATTTGCTAGTGGTCTTTAAAAATAATCCACTTAGAAATGTTTAATGGAGGCCCATGTTATGGCGTAGCATGTTCAGCCTCTGCCTATGATGACGGCATCCCATATGGCTGCCAGTTCAAGACCTGACTGCTCTACTTCTGAGCTCCCTGCTAGCCCCAGCTTCCACGTGGGAACCCTGGAAGAAGCTCCGGGATCCTGCCTTCAGCTTGGCCTAGCCCTGGCCATTGCAGCTATTTGGGGAGTGAACCACCAAATGGAAGATCTCTTTCTCGCTGTCTTTCCTCCTCTCTGACTCTGCCTTTCAGATGAATAAAAAAAGAAATTTAAAAAAAATGTTTTTAATGGCTCCCTATTTGCTGCTGTGTATAAATCCAAAATTGTCTATATGACTTTCAAGGTCTTTTGTAATCTTAGGCTCAGCTTACCCTACCAACCTAATTTTCTTCTGTTCTTTGTTAAGTTCCTTCTGATCCATTTAAACTGATTTTCTCATTGTTTCTTACACTTGCTTGTTCACCTCACAAATGCCTGGGACAGCTGGGGCTGGGGAAAGCCTAACCCAATCCAGGTCTCCCGGGTGGGTAGCAAGGACCCAGCTACTCGAGACATTGTCACCTGCTGCTTTCCCAGGGTCTGTGTTAGCAGGAAGCTAAAGTGGAGCCAGGACTCAGACCCAGGCATTGAATATGGAATACTGGTGTCTCGAGCAGTGTCTTAACTGCTGCACAAAATGCCTGGCCATCTAATAACCTTGTCCATCTAATAACCATTAAATACTTCATACCACACTTCTTTTCTTTTCAGAATCTATTGCACTTGCCATCATTATCCTTAGATAGCATGTGATTCTGTAATGGCTTAAGTGTGTCTTAGGTCTTTCTCTTGATTCAAGTTTTATTCTTGGAGCAGGAACCGTCTTTTCTGGTTTTTTGTTGTTGTTGTTGTTGTTTTTGATGTCATGTGCAACAAATAGTTTGAGAGCTGCAGGTGGCCTTGGTGCTTGTTGGTTCTCGTGTTTGTAGCTGCTTCCACTGAAGATGTTGGTGATAGAAAAGTTGGTGGTCTTCATCCTGAAGAGGTTACAGTCTTCTGTTTGGTTCTGTTTAGGCTTGTCTTGAAATTGTTTCTGTTCTTTTTTCTATTTGTTTCTCTCTATTGGATTAGATCAATTATTATCACCATTAATGGTCTCTTCTTTTTAGTCTACAGGTTATTTTCAAACAAAGGAAACTGGTTTGAGGAAATTTAATGTGCTGTCAGCATTGGAATTTATTACCTGTTACAATCAAGATTTGTAGACTACAAAAAATCTTAAGTTTTCACCTATAAATTAATCCCAAGATAATTTCAGGTAAGACACTAGGTTTTAAAGAAAAGCATGTGAAATACGTTGATTTATATCTTGATTTTTATATTATTTTGTCTTCTAGCATTCAAAACGACTTTTGACTTTTGACTTTTGCTTTTTCAAATCTCTAACCTCACAGGCTGCTTTGATCTTTGCTTGTACCTCAGGTTCTTCGTTAGATGTAAAGGACTGTTAGTGAACCCTGTTAGTGAGCCATCTTTTTGGTTCATTTTACTGCTTTGGACATCTGTAGTCTCCAACTACTCCATGTTGTATTTATTCAGCTTTTTTTTTTTTTTTTAATCCTTCCTGTTGAAATTAGAGTCCATTGGAATTGACAGAATAAGTTGTGAAATCTTAAGATTTGCTAATTTAAAATTTATATGTTTCAAGATTAAATGAGAGAATACTTTGTCTAATAATTGATGTTTTTTATGGCTGAAATTAGTGTATAGTCTTTTCACATATTTGTCACTTCCATTCAAGTATAAACATTGCATCTGTTTCTCTGTAGACTGATAATTCTATAGAAACCAGCATTAAAACAGAATGCTTTCTTAAATTCTCTCATTGTAGTAAAATTATTTGTGTTAACAGTTTAGTCCTGACTTGTGGTTATTTTACTGGACCTTGCTCAGTACAGAATTAGACTGAGATTGGTATGAGCTTTGGTTCATAATCCCTAAGATCATCCATGGTTTAGCCAAACACATGGAGCCTGAGGATGATTGAAACAGCTCAGATCCAGCGCATGTCTTGATCAGCTGTAATTTGCCATACCAGGTGCTAAGGATAAAGCAATGGGGTGAAAAAAACAGACCAAAATGCCTACCTGCATGAAACATGGTTAGGTAGCATTTGGGGGCAGACAGTAAATAGGACATATATTCAAAAAGTTCATGGAAATCGAACAGACAAAAAGTCATGGATTTAAAAACTGTTGGTGCCAAAATAAACTTACTGATCTTTTAAAAAAATTATTCATTTTAAAGGCAGAGTGATAGGGAGGAGGTGGGGGCAGGGAAAGAGGGGAAAAGAGAGAGAGTGTGAGAGTGAGACACGGATCTTGTACTCCGTGGTTCTTTAAACAGCCACAACAACCAGGTCTTGGCCTGGCTGAAGCAGGGGCCCAAACATGGGCCATCATTTGCTGCCTTCCCAGGCACATTAGCAGGAAGATAGATCAGAAGCCTAGCAGCTGAGACTTGAACTGGTTCTCCCGTATGGGATGTTGGTATCACCAGCGGCAGCTTCATCTGCTGTGCCACAACACCGTTACATGACACCTATCATTTAATTCTATTTTTGCACAAACTTTTTGAAGTCCTCTCATAAGTAGAATATGTTGTATATTAGATGTGATAAGTGCTCTGAAGAAAAATACAGCAGAGGAAGAGGCTAAGGGATTATGTTGTGGTTGTGGGGAGGAGGATAGAAGAGTTAAAATGTTAATAGTATGTCCAGGGAAGGTTTCATTGAGGAAGTGACATGGAAGCAAGATTCCGAAGACCTGAGGGAGTCATCTGTGTGTTTATCAGAGAGGAGGCTGTTCTAGGAGAAAAGAAATCACAGGTGCCTTTCACAGATGATCAAGCTGTTCAGAACTCTTCCAGTTAAGCCAGTGGTGTCGATTCACTCAGGGTTTTTGCCTTGACAGAATGTCCAGCAAGGAAGTGAAGACGGCTCTAAAAAGTGCTAGAGATGCAATCAGGAACAAAGAATACAAAGAAGCTTTGAAGCACTGTAAGGTAACCAGCGTATATTCTCCCACAATAAAAGCACTGATAAGCGATACTGACTTGTAACATGTGGTTCGTGTGATGTCCAGATCAACCAAAGTAGACCCAAGTAACTTCACTTCGGCAGTTAACTCATGGTTGTGATTATTTTTTTGAGGCTGCATTATTGTAAAGAATTCTAAGTGTGCTGTTGCTGGAAGTGTTGTGAATGCACGTCAGCCTAGTAATGCGACTGGTTTGACTCGTGGAAAAGTTCTTAGTTTTCTAGAAAACACAAAACCCTAAGAGGCTCATTTCATTTTTTAAAAAAAAATTTTTAAGATTTATTTATTGATTTGAGAGGCAGATTTACAGAGAGATAGATTGGCCGGAGCTGTGCCGATTAGAAGTCAGGAGCCAGGAGCTTCTTCTGGGTATCCCAAGTGGGTTCAGGACCCCAAGGACTTGGGCCATCTTCCACTGCTTTCCTAAGCCATAGCAGAGAGCTGGATCGGAAGTGGAGCAGCCGGGACTCCAAGCAGCGCTCATATGGGATGCAGGAGGCAGCTTTACCTGCTACGCCATCATGCCGGCCCTGAGGCTAATATCATTTTAGCTGCCAGTTTTCATTTTTCCTTCCCTATAACCTATTTGCTTTCTGCTTCAAGCTAGTTTATTTGCCTTAGCCAATAGCTGTTATTTCTGAAAGCAGTATCTCTCTATATAATTTTATTCTGGTTGGAAATATGATTGAAGCTTTCACCACTATTTTGAACATACTTGGTATCCTCACACTGCGGTGAATTCACTCTCCTAGACTCTACTTTCATCCCACCTGATGGATGGAAGTTAAATCCATCTGTGTAACATGGAGAAACAGCAGCATGGGAAAGAAAGACGTGGAAGTTGAATGAAGTGATCTGAGAAGAGCAGCAGCGGGAGGGTGGGGTGGCTGCTGTTCTTTTATACCCAGTGTTCTCAGAGAACGGTGATGGAGACATTTGATGGGGCCATGAGGATTGCTCAGGCAGCTTTTAAAAAACATGCCTGCCAGCGCCGTGGCTCAATAGGCTAATCCTCTGCCTTGCGGCGCCGGCACACCGGGTTCTAGTCCCAGTCGGGGCGCCGGATTCTGTCCCGGTTGCCCCTCTTCCAGGCCAGCTCTCTGCTATGGCCAGGGAGTGCAGTGGAGGATGGCCCAAGTGCTTGGGCCCTGCACCCCATGGGAGACCAGGAGAGGCACCTGGCTCCTGGCTTCGGATCAGCGCGGTGCGCCGGCCGCACCGGCCATTGGAGGGTGAACCAAAGGAAGACCTTTCTCTCTCTCTCTCTCTCTCACTATCCACTCTGCCTGTCAAAAAAAAAAAAAAAAAAAATGCCTTGTAGTTCAAACCCTTCCAGTCCCTGAGTCGTGTCTTGCTCCCCAAGGAACCTGAACCCAGGAAGTACGGGCAGCAGTTCTGAGAGTGGCCCAGTTAGTGGTCCACACAGACTCCCAGGCTCTCTCGTAGACTTTCGTTGTGTTCTTTGTTCATTAGCTTCCCAAATTTGACGACGTACTCTTCTAACTTTTTAACCAGACAGTGTTGAAACAAGAGAAGAATAACTATAATGCCTGGGTTTTTATTGGTGTTGCTGCGGCTGAGCTAGAACAACCTGACCAGGCCCAGGGGGCCTATAAGAAAGCTGCAGAGCTAGAGCCAGACCAGTTGCTTGCGTGGCAGGTATGTGGACTTTTTCTCCCCTGTGTTATAGGAAAGGATGTTTCTGTAGTTGTCAAGAGAGAACTATGTTAAAATAAGCACTGGAACCTCTATTTGCCCCATGCAAGGATTAAAAAAAAGTTAAATCTATTTCTCTTCTAAATCTAAAAGTTAGTTTAAAAAAGATACATCTGCAACTTAATTACGTGTGCACAAAGACTAATCCAGAATGTTCTTTATGCTTACTAAATGAATATGTTATCTAGAAATAAAACACTATAAAATTTTTCAATTCTGTATCTTTGAGTACAAGTTAAATATTTTTTTCTTACTTAGTGATCTTAATCTTTTTAGTTGGATTCCCCAACTTTTAATTTTTAATACATTGCTTCTTACCTCGGTAACATCTTCAGACCTGATTCATAGACTCCAGAAAGTGTGAACCTGTTGTCTCAGATTCACTAAATAAGAACTTGGTTGGGATATCAGGAAACACAGAGAAATGGCTGCTTTTTTAATGTACTGACTGGTAGGATATCTGATTTCAGTTTGAAGCGAAAGTGATACTTTCTACAGATGACTTGGATTTTTTGTTGTTGTTGACCATGTCATAAAAGTCGTATCATGTGAGATAGATCTTAAATTAAATCTCACCACGCACAGATGCATGCCTATAAAATACTAATTGTGTAGAGGTAATATGTTAATTGTCTTGATTATGATGACCATTTTGCATTGTATACACATATTAAAACAACATATAAATTTATAGAATATTTATCAGTGATATCTCAATAAAGCTGCTTTTAAAACATGCTGAAAAAATTTTTAAAGGTAGTCTTACAAGGTAAACGATAGTGGTAAAAATTGTAGAAAAACTAATGAAAATGTTTTAATTTTGAAACACTTCAAATGTGTTTTCATAAAAAAGTTGTGTAATGGGCCCCTTTATGCCTATCACCGAGAGTCCACTGACAGTATTTTTTCATCTGTATTTTTGACTTGATCCTTTCCACCCCCGATGTTTGGAGGCAAATTCCAGATATGTAATTTCATCTGCAAGCTGTATCTTTTATCACAAGTTATCTTTGTAGATAATCATATTATGTGGCAAAATAAGTGAATGAATGTGGCATCATCAAACATTTTGGAAAGGATAGCCTCTCTACTTCCTCTTTCAGGGATTAGCAAGCCTGTATGAGAAAAGTAGTCACTTAAATGCTAAGGATGACTTGCCTGGTGTTTACCAAAAGCTTCTGGATCTTTATGAAAGGTAAGGCGTGTACAGGAAAGGCCTTTTTTTTTTTTTTAAGTTTGGATTGGAATAAATTAACTAGAAATTATATAGAAATAGTAATCCACACATTGGGATTGGGGTTGGCTTTTCTTTTTGTCATAGAATCTCTTGATTGTGACTGAAATAGAATGAAAATACCATTACTGAAACGAACCACTAGGTTTGGAACTTTGATATTATTTTCAGTCTCTGAAGTCTTTTACAAGAAGCTTGTTTTAGAAAATGTTACTGTAGTATGAAAGAGAGTATATTCTAATTTGAAATAGTACCTGAAAATATTGGGATATTTCTATTTTAGCATTTTAAATCCTTGGTTGTTTTCATTAATAAAATTCAAGTCCTTTTTTGTTGTTTCTCGAAGTGTTGACAAGGCAAAGTGGTGTGATGTCTGTAAGAAACTCGTGGATCTCTATTACCAAGAAAAGAAGCACCTAGAGGTTGGTTAAAGATTTTCTAGGGATCCTAGATTTCTTTTAATAAAACCATTATTAAAAGAAAGTTTTTACTTAAAGGAAAATTAAAAAATCATATATAGTATGCTATTGAAAAAATGTTAAAAATAATACAAATTACAGTGTTTTGAGAATTATAAATTAGAATTCAGATTTAGGGTAACATAATTTCTCAACCTCTCTGAAACGGGACAGAATGTGAATGAAGTAACTCAGCACGTCATCTGTGGAACTTATTTATGGTGCCTGCATAGCTGGTGCTCTGAGTTTTGGGGATTGGGCATGTAGTCACCAACCCTGTATCTGCCCTGCTGTATCTGTCACACTTCTGATGTTAGGGCTCTGTGGCTTTGCCCAGTCAACTCATTTTTTTATGGAGTTCATAATAGATATGGAGTTCATAATACATAGGCTATTTTTAATGTGTTAGCAGATAAAAGTATTATTTGCAAATTTTACATTTTTTATTGGTGCTTTCAGGATTTAAAAAAATGCCATTTTAAATCTCCTTTTGCACACAGGTGGCTCGAACATGGCACAAACTGATCAAGACACGGCAGGAGGAGGGTGCGGACGATCGAGAGCTTCACCAGCTGTGGAGGAAACTGACTCAGTTGCTGGCCGAGAGGACAGAGGATCAGAACAATGAAACCCAGCAGTTGGTACTGACGTGTTTATTCCTCACAGTCTGTCATATTGTTCATTTAATTAAATTTAGAAAATGGAAACACAGTGACATCATATAGAAATGTACCTTATGTCAGATGAGTTATCTTGGAAATACGTAGTTTTAAATTCATAGAGGCTCTTGCTGATGTTTGCAGTCTCTTCCTAAGTCTAGATGGAGAGTCTGGATGGGGTGGAATTGCTACTCAGAGTGTTTGAATTTCATTCCTTTATATTCATGAGAATCTGCAGTAAGTCAATAACATAATCACTGTAAAAAAGACACTATGTAAAAATTGAGTTTCACAAAATTAGTATTTCTAAAACACTTTTCGGTGTTTTTTTTATACTTAAAACTGAAAGTACTGAATTACTTTGAGGCTTAACTATAGCTAGACTTTAGAGTATATTTACTAGATTATTTATATTTAGAAAATATTCCTTTTTAATATGTAGATTTTCAAATAATTGAATTTTTTAAAAAAACATTGGTTTTAAACTGTAATTAGAAATGTCTCTGTTGTCCTTTTTTTTTTTTTCCTGTTTGTGAGTTTAAAAGTCAACTTAATTTCTTATGATAAATAGCTACTCGATATGTGTTTGTTAAATTGAGTGGAATTTTTTTTTCCTAAACAAGTATGGACTCCATATAGGATGGAAGTGCATTTCTGTTTTTGTTTGTTAGTTCATTCACTTATTCATTTAGTTTATTCAGCAAGCAATTTACTGAGAACCTAGTACGTGTTGGGCAGTGTCCTAAGCGTTGGGGCCAAAAACATGTAAGTTTCAATTTGTTTGATAATGGTAGTTAATTAATAAGCTAGCTCCCTCATTGCTCACCCAACCTTGCTCCTTCTGGGGCAGGGGACCCTTGGATCATCAAGGAGGACAGAGAAGGAAACAGGGCACGGAGGGAGAAAAGCAGTGGAGTGGACAGCGTGGAAGAAACAGGAAAAGAGAATTTCTGCAAGGGCCATGCTGCTGGCCTGGCGGCCCTGCGGTTTAGCGGAGAGCTGGGGCATGCTAGGCCCTGGAGGAGCTCTGGTATCCAAGGGTTTATCTATACATAGGTTTTGTTGTAGAAGAAATTGAATGTTGACAGAATTAGGTAGCTTGTCAATTTCCCTTAAATCCTATCTTTAACATGGCTACACTGTTTTTTTTTTTTCTTTTTTAAAGATTTATTTATTTATTTGAAAGAGTTACAGAGTAGCAGAGGCAGAGAGAGAGAGATCTTCCATCTGCTGGTTCACTCTCCAAATGGCTGCAATGGTCAAGACTGGGCCAGCTTGAACCCAGGAGCTTCATCTGGGTCTCCCACATGGGTACAGAGGCCCAGGGACTTTGGCCATTTTCCACTGCTTAACTAAGTGCAGTAGCAGGGAGTTAGGTCCGAAGTGGAGCAGCTGGGACTCAAACCAGAGCCATGTCAGATGCTGACGCTGCAGGCAGTGCCCTTACCTGTTATGCCACAGTGCTGGCCCTGACTTCACTGTTTTTTAAAAAAATTGCCAGATTGCCAGAATATCAAACACATATCAAAATAAGTAAAATGTCTTTTTAAGTTGACTATACTGCACTCCTCCACAATATAATTAATTATGCTTACAATTTTAAGAATTGATTTTTAACTGTTAGAAATAAAAAGATATGGGACCGCCACTGTGGCATAGCAGGTAAAGCCACCGCCTGCAGTGCCAGCATCCCGTATGGGCACCAGTTTGAGTCCGGGCTACTCCACTTCTGATCCTATTCTCTGCTGTGGCCTGGGAAAGCAGTAGAAGATGGCCCCAGGCCCGTGGGCCCCTGCACCCACGTGGGAGCCCCGGAGGAAGCTCCTGGCTCCTGTCTTCCGGTAGGTGCAGCTCCAGCCGTTGTGGCCAGTTGGGGAGTGAACCCGTGGATAGAAGACCTCTCTCTCTCTCTGCCTCTCCCCTCTCTATGTAACTCTTTCAAATAAATCTTTAAAAAAACAAAAAGAAATAAAAGGATGTGGGGAGGTATTTTCACCTTATATTAAGTGTTCAGAAAAAATGTGTCATCTATTTTCTAGTTGTAATAATTTCATTCCTGGGCCGGGGCTGTGGCTCACTTGATTAATCCTCCACCTGCATTGCCGGCATTCATATGGGCACCGGATCCTAGTCCCAGCTTCTCCTCTTCCAGTCCAGCTCTCTGCTATGGCCTGGGAGGGCAGTGGAGGATGGCCCAGGTGCACCTGCATGGGAGACCAGGAGGAAGCACCTGGCTCCTGGCTTCAGATCGGCGCAGTGCCAGCCGTGGTGGCCATTTGGGGGGTGAACCAACGAAAGGAAGACCTTTTTTTTCTGTCTCTATCACTGTCTAGCTCTATCTGTCAAGGAAAAAAAAAATGCATTCCTATTCTTTAAAATCCATTATGCTAGAGTGTTTTAAATTAGGCTTTTTTTTTTTTTTTTCAAGATCATTAGCTCTAGCAAAGCAGGCAAATTTTTTTATTTATTTGGAAAGACTTTGTACAATATTTACCAAAGAAAAATTTGATGTGGTAAACTATATTTTGGGTTTTTGTTATTAAATCATTCATTTTTAAAAAATATTTATTTATTTATTTAAAAGTCAGAGTTACACAGAGAGAGGAGAGACAGAGAAAGAGAGAGGTCTTCCATTCTCTGGTTCACTCCCCAATAGGCTACAACAGCCAGAGTTGCGCCGATCCAAAGCCAGGAGCCAGGAGCTTCTTCCGGGTCTCCCATAGTGGGTGCAGGGGCCCAAGGACGTGGGCCATCTTCTACTGCTTTCCCAGGCCATAGCAGAGAGCTGGATTGGAAGTGGAGCAGCTGGGTCTTGAAACAGCACCCATATGGGATGCCGGCACTACAGGCGGTGGCTTTACCCGCTATGCCACAGCACCAGCCCCTAAATCATTCATTTTTTTAAAATGTAGCACTTATGTAAACAGATGATAGAAAATGCTTGCCTGGGGTTCTAATACTGCTTTTTCTGTTCAAGACAGTTTTAAAATGGCTCTTTTGTAATTTTCTTCAAAATCAGCCAACACTATTTACGAGAATTGATTTAATTATAGTGTGTCATATCCCTGTTTTTCTTTCACCATAAGTATAACCTACCTGTATAAGAAAATTATTTAAGGGTTGAAGGTTTTCCAGCATTGAAGATGTTCCAGAGAATGTGCTAGTGATGTCTGAAGAGCGGCTTTAGGAAGGATGTGAGTAGTAGCAGCTGCTAGCATTTGAGAGTATCCTCTGGTTGACCGCTGTGTAGGAGGTACTTGGAAGTATGTTTTATTAATGTTGTTAATTTGTAGTTGTCACTTACTAGTCCAGAGTAATCTGCTGGCCAGTTGGAATTGGAATACACGCCAAAATTTACATACACATTTCTTTCCTCTTTGAAATTGTCAGGGGCAGAAAATAAGGTATATTTGCAGCTGCTTGAAAGGATAGTTTATATAAGGCAGTTTTGTGCATTTAACCACTTGTCACTTTCGTAAGGACGCTATAGATAATAGCTTTTTTGTTTGCTTGTTGCAGCTTTTAACTGCATTTGAGAATGCACTGGACTTAACAGAGAAGATTCCTAGTGAAGATCATCAAATGCTTTATAAGCATTTCATTCATTGTTTATCCAAAGTAAGTTGAGTATTTCAAAAACTCTGATGTGACTTTTATGTATTTCTAATTAGGAAAATGTTCAGAAATATATCCTACTACTGGAATTTAGTTTATCTTGCTCTTATATTTTCAAGTTTCCTCATGAGTCTGCCAGGCTGAAGAAGGCCTGTGAAGGAATGATAAACATCTATCCCACTGTGCAGTATCCATTAGAAGTTCTTTGCTTGCACTTAATTGAATCAGGTAATTTCTTTTTTAGACTGAATGTTCTTGAGTTATGTGATTGTGTGGAAATGATGTTGCTATCAATCAAAGAGTGTTTCAGTACTTACTATATGTAAGTTACTGTTTCAGTGTTTCTAGATGTGAAAGGAAGTGCAGTGTGTAGTCTGTGTGTTCCCCAAAAGGCTAATAAAATAAGAAAGTACATGAGTACTGAGGAATTGTGAGTTACGGCATTCCAGGTTGGTTAGTGAAGTTTTTTTTTTAATTTATTAATTGGGGCTGGCACTGTTGCACAGTAGGCTAAACCTCTGCCTGCAGCACTGGCATCCCATATGGGTGCCGGTTCTAGTCCTGGCTGCTCCTCCTCAAATCCAGCTCTCTGCTTATGGCCTGGGAAAGCAGTAGAAGATGGCCCAAGTCCTTGGGCCCCTGCATCTGCATGGGAGACCTGGAAGAAGCTCCTGACTCCTGGCTTTAGATTAGCCCAGCTCAGGCTTTTGTGGCCATTTGGGGAGTGAATCAGCAAATGGAAGACCTTTCTCTCTCTCTCTCTCTCTCTCTCTCTCTCTCTCTGCTTCTCAAATAAATAAACAAAAATTTTTTTAAAAAGATGATTTCTTTTTTTTAAAGATTTATTTATTTATTTGAAAATCAAAATTACACAGAGAGGCAGAGAGAGAGAAAGACAGAGAGAGAGAGAGAGGTCTTCCATCCGCTGGCCATAGCAGATCTGGATCGGAAGTGGAGCAGCCGGGACGTGAACCAGCACCCATGTGGAATGCTGGCACTGCAGGTGGTGGCTTTACCCGCTACGCCACAGTGCCAGGCACAGCATTTGCTCTTTTCTCTCTAATTCCTGTTCCACTATCATTGCTTTGTATCATTTCCTTATTCCTGGTCTGCTCATGTAGCAAATGACATAAGTGAATACTTTAAAGTCTCTTTTTATGGACTGACTACTTTCTCAGTAAACATACATATGTCTGTAAGGGCTGATTAGTAAATAACCTGGTCTTCATATACCCAAGAGCCTGCAAAACAGTATCAGAAATAGGATCCAGAGACAGTCTGCAGAATTTTGCCCATAAATTTGTTAGTTGACAAAGTGCTGTGATAAAGAGGTAGGTGAGGGACTTTGGTTAGAAAGATGTTGGATTAAGTGAAAAAACAGTCAGTCTTGAAGGGGGTTTGGGAATGGGTGTTTGGCAGAACTGGAAGAAAAGGAGTCTATATCTTGGCAAATAGGAGTGGGTAAGTGGATATTACATATGTGTTCAAACCAAGGAATAGTTTTTTCCCATCTGTATTGTTGGATGCAGAAGTTTGCAGAGTTGAGCTGTTCAGGTTTAGGTACATTTAATGCAGAACATTTTTCTTTTCGTTATTCCTCTAAATTGAACTTTCTATATATTGAGGACTTGTAAAAATTTGTAAGGTCACTGAAGGCTGACCCTATAAAGTAGATTTGCTATTTTATAGCCGTTAATTACCAGGTTCTGTTCCATTGTGCCTAACGGAAAATGTCATTCTTGTTTGTCCTGCTTTGCATGTTGAGAATTGAAAACTTAATTTCAGAATGACTCAATTTTTTTTCTTTAAAAATTTATTTATTTACTTGAAAGGCAGAGTTACAGAGAGAGAGAGAGAGAGAGAGAAGTCTTCCATCCACTGTTTCGCTCCTCAAATGGCCACAACGGCTAGAGCGGGGCCAATCTGAAGCCAGGAGCCAGGAGCTTCTTAGGGGTCTCCCACACATGTGCAGGGGCCCAAGAACTTGGGCCATCTTCCACTGCTTTCCCAAGCCATAGCAGAGAGCTGGATCAGAAATGGAGCAGCCAGGACTTGAACCGACACCTACATGGGACAGCATCACTGCACTGCCACAGTGCCAGCCCCTCACTCCTTATTTTATGAAGCTTTACAAACTGAGCCATTTTGGGGCGGGCATTGTGGCGGAGCAGGCACAGTGGCACCTGCAGTGCCAGCGTCCCATATGGGCTTCAGTTCAAGTCCTGGCCTCTCTACTTTCGATCCAGCTCTCTGTTGTGGCCTGGGAAAGAAGTGGAAGATGGCCCAAGTGCATGGGCCCCAGCACCCACATGGGAGACGTGGAGGAAGCTCCTGGCTCCTGGCTTTGGATCAGCCCATCTCCCCATTGCAGCCATTTGGAGAATGAGCCAGAAGATGGAAGATTCTCTCTCTCTCTGCCTCTGCCTCTCTGTAACTCTGCCTTTCAAATAAATAAAAAAATATTTTTTCTTGTTTAAAAAGCAAAGCAAGCAGTGAGTATCTTTCACAGTTGTCATCTGTTGAAATGTTTTTTTTTTTCCACACTAAATGACCTTGATTGTTGCTGAAATGGAAGGCTGAGAAAGCTTGGTTTTTCAAATTCAGGCAGAAAACAGCTTCTTTGAGATTTTTTGCTCTTGAAATATTAGAAAGTCCAAGTGAGAATAATGCATGTCCTGTCTTTTTTTTTTTTCTCCCAACCTGGATTTATTTAAAAGAACATTTCTATAGTGTTCATCAGTCTCTCCAGGATGCTAGAAATGAATTGATTATTCAAAAAAAAAACTCACTTTTCTTTTTGTTGTAAACTTTAAGAAACTGAATTCCAGTAGGTCTCACTTAGTTTTTTTTTTAAAGATTTATTTATTTATTTGAAAGAGTTATACAGAGAGGCAGAGAGTGAGAGAGAGAGAACTAGAGAGAGAGGTCTTCCATCCGCTTGTTCACTCCCCAATTGGCCACAATGGCCAGAGCTGTGCTGATCTGAATCCAGGATCCAGGAGCTTCTTCCAGGTCTCCACGTGGGTGCATAGGCCCAAGGAGTTGGGACATCTTCTACTGCTTTCCCAGGCCACAGCAGAGAGCTGGATCGGAAGCGGAGCAGCTGATACTCGATTCAGCACCCACAGGGGATGCCGGCAGTGCAGGTGGTGGCTTTACCCCTTCACACAACGCTGGTCCCAGTCTCACTTAGTTTTCATTCATCCTGGACCTTTTCACAATACCTTGGAGTTTGATCAGTCATCACTGATAAATTTAGCTTGCATTTTTGAGAAATAAAAATATACCAAATTGTATTTAAAGTCATTAAATCTGGAAACTAAGACTCCTTTAAATGTTAAAAAGAGCAAATAAGTGAAATAAATGACTTTCTATTAAAAAGCAGTGAGACCTGTTGCCTCTGTTTTTACCGCTCACCATGGAGTTTATTTGGCTAATATTCTCACTGAGAATCAGTGTGGAGGAGAGGATTGGGAGTTGAAGCTGTACTGTTCCTTTATCTCTGCACACAGGATAGTTAGATGGTTGGTGTTGTTACTGTTGCAAGTTTCCTTTGACTCTGGGAAGTTTTTCTCAGTGTCATTTGGTCAGATGTAGAGATTATGTTCCCTAGAACTCAACAGGAGAGCTTTCCCCAATCTCCCTTGATTTGTAACTGTTCCCCGGGGCATTAGCAAAGAGAATATGGGAAGGTTCTTCCTCTCAGCATTTTGGAAACAGTTTTCTTAAGCCTACCCACACTTTGCTTCCTTACGTGCAGTCCTAGCTGCCTTACTTAAGGATGCTTATTGGAGAGATGCATGATAAACTTTCTTCATTTCATCCCGGGTATATTTTCTGTAATAAGGGCCTTTTATGTGACCAAGGTAGTTTTTCATAAATTATGTTTCTGTGGAGTAAGAAATTTGACTGAGGTGGGTAGAAACGAGAGATACAATTTCAGTGTTCATTTTTTAAATTCTTTTGTAGGATGATGAAGATCTAAAATTTTCTGTAGTAATTCCCAGCCATTCTTTCTGCACATCAGTTAACAATGGCATTTTTAAAGGATCATTATGATCTTTGAATTTAATGAATGCCTATTGTGTGAGTGGTACTGCCCCAGTCTCTGCTTTCCAGAATTTATCATTTAGCTACAAATGCAGTAGAAGCAGTGTATCTATAAGACTAGTAATAAAGGTGATGGATGGTATTAGCAAGTACTGCAGACCTGTAGTTCTCCAGGTATGATCTGTAGACCAGTAGTAGTGGCATTACCTGAGGACTTGTTAGAAATACAGATTCTCTGGCCTTACATCAGCCCTGAGGAATGGGAAACTGTGGGGTAGAGTTCAGCACACTCCTAACACGTCCTTCAGCTGATTCTGATGCCTGTTGTAGTGGCTGTCTAGGCGGTACCACTGGGAGCAAAGTGGGTGGGCACAGGTGTGGCATGGAACTAGACGTGTCTCTTCTCGGCCTTTGCATTTATGGAAGCAGTAATGAGAACATCCTGGCAGAAGATTCGTGTCTGGAAGCACAGCAATAGCAGGCTTGTGTCTTTTTTATTGGCCTGCTAATCAGTTTCTTCCTGTTGTTCACATCTTAACCAAATACTGAAGTTTTAATTCTGTAGCCATTATGACTTCTTTTATATTTGGTATTAATTTAATTTCCAAGTCTGAGTGTAGCATCTTATTTGCAAATTGTGCATTGGTGTGCATCTGATTTTGAAAAACTTTAAATATGTAAGCAAATGGCATTATGCAAAAAACTTGACATCTGTGACTGAAACAGTAGTTCTGCGTGTGACTTGGGGTCTATATTTTTATATGGAAGTTAAAACATCAGGTCTTTTTTTTCAGATAAGTTATTATTCCCATATTGATTGTTTCATGTTCTAGTCTGTGTTTTTAAGAATTTATCTATGTGATTAAACTATTAAGTGAATACTTTTTTAATAATTTATTAAAATAGAGTTTAAAAAATCATGTTTTTGCATTTTTTTAATGTTTTCTGGGATTGAAAATTGTAAGTTTGGAGTTGGAGAAAATGGAGATGTAATATATTATCTTTTCTTTTTAAAAAACATGTTATTTCAGAATAGTTTAGATTTACAAAAGAAAGATTATGGGGTAGTAGTACAAGGAGTTCCCATTTCCCACTCACTCCATTTCTTGTATTAAATCTCATATTAGTATCTTTGTCACAGTTAATGAACAACACCTAGCTTCCCCTATTTTTTAAAA